AGCAATGGATTCTGGGTAGTGATGACAGTGCTTACTGTGTCCAGACAGCTGCTGGATGGATGCCCTTGAGCAATGGATTCTGGGTAGTGATGACAGTGCTTACTGTGTCCAGGCCGCTGCTGGATGGACGCCCTTGAGCAATGGATTCTGGGTAGTGATGACAGTGCTTACTGTGTCCAGGCCGCTGCTGGATGGACGCCCTTGAGCTGGCTCTGAAGTGCTCCGGTCTGCTGAAGCGTACCATGATCCGGGAGGGCAAAGATCAAGAGCAGGGGTCTGTGTCCGAACACTCCCATGTCAACTTCTACCACCTGCTGCGAACCCACAACCTACAAGGGCCCGAAGGCTTCCAGTGAGCACCGCCAACGTCTGACCTACATTCCACTAGCATTAGCAAGTTAGTGCTGCGGCTCTAGCTGGAGGTGATCAGCCTCTTCATTACTAATGTTACTATTTCTTTGCTTTAACAGTCCATAACTTTCAGCTCTTTTACACCGCTGGTTCTATTTACTGCTTAACTTCATGTTAAGTATGTTATTCAAAGGTCCCACAGCAGATCCCCTGCCAGGGGAATGTGTCGTGCAGCCGTGTGGGAGGAATAATGTCTTTTTGACACTTTTCACATCAAAGTCTGGAAAAACAGCACTGTAGCCCAATTTCACATGCTGTCGTTATGTAACTGCAGATGGCCCTTCCGGAACGCCTTGTAGTTTTGTGCCCGTGGGTGTTGGGCATTTCAACGGGGGCAAAGCAAGAGACATGCTTCCGTCTGAAGTTTGTTGTTAGCAAGCCCTATGTTATTTTGTTGGCTACGTGTTGAGACATTATCTTGGTGGCCTGTGATGCTTGTGAAGTTGATTTTCAGGGGTCTGAAATCTCCTCCAGGTTCAACGACAGCGAGCATTTCAAGGACCCGGACCTGTACTCGGACAAGTCGGACCGGGAGAACGAGCAGGACCAGGAGTCGGAAAATGAGGGCCCGGAGAAGAGCGAGGAGAGTGACAGCGATACGTCGGAGCAGCAGGACGACTCCTGTGTGGGCATGGAGCCGGGGGAGGGCCTGCAGGAGACGCACTACATGGAGCAGTCCCACGAGGAGCTGGGGGAGGTGAATGCGTGTGAAGCATGCGTGTGATGCGATAGATCTATCTATCTATCCATCCATCTATCCATCTATCCATCCATCTATCTATCTATCTATCTACAGTATCTATCTATCTATCTATCTATCTATCTATCTATCTATCTATCTATCTATCTATCTATCTATCTATCTACTTTACCCAGGGAAAAAAAAACATTAGTGATTATGTACTGCTTAGGTTCTATACATTACATCGGCTTTATTACATAAGTAGATTATTCTGGAAAGCAAAGGGCAAATCCACACAGCTGCTCATTCCCCAGTATGTTTCTCTGTTGTAAAGGCTGGCGAGGCCTCTCAGACAGAGACCGTGTCAGAGGAGAACAAGTCTCTGATGTGGACCCTACTGAAGCAGGTCAGGCCCGGGATGGACCTGTCCAAGGTGGTTCTACCCACATTCATCCTGGAGCCACGATCTTTCCTGGATAAGCTCTCTGACTACTACTACCATGCGGACTTCCTCTCAGAGTGAGTGCACTTCCTTCTTTATTGCCCTGTCAATTTTGATTGGCTCATTAGACGTGGACAGCTGACAAAGATCCTCCTGATTGGAAGGAGGGTTGGGTAAATCAAGACAATGGTGAGTTCAGTCTAGAATTCCATCATGCCGCTCTGTTAATGAAGCTTTATACTGGATGAATGTTTGGTTTGTGTGTTTATAATTAAAGCAGAGGAACTCGCACTATCACTGAGCTACTTCTATACCCAGCTTATTTGTGGCTCCTGCCTGTGGCGTCCCGACAAGCCTCACTGACACTCACACCCATGGGCCTCATTGTTTGTGGATTCGCATGAGCAACCATTGGGCGAATCTGATTTCCCTTTGTAAGGCCGTCTCCTGGCATAGGGAGTCATGTGACACGGGGATGGGAGGAAGGAATAGCTACTTTATTTGGGTATGGGAGTGGAGATGGGGGAGGGGACATTACAGCTTTCCTCGATTGCTTTGGAGCATTTCTCAAATGACAATTAACATTTGCAAAACAATAAGTGTAATCCCCACACCACAATGTCACTTCTGCACAGCAGAATATCACTTCACACCCAAAACTATATACGTGCATGATCATGGTGTTAGCCTCCACATGCAAAACAGCTAACCAAGGTGTCAACATGATATATTCCATAAATTTCAGTGATAATAATAGATACTTCATTGATCCCCGTGGGGAAATTGTCTTTACGCCTCCCTCAACTTGCTCTATTTTATAAAGCAAGTTGTCCATGAAGGGCAGCCGCCCATAGCAGCACCCAGGGAGCTGGGGGTTAAGGGCCTTGCTCAGGGACCCACAGACGTGCTGAGGCTGGCCTTGAACCAGCAACCTTCTGATTACTTGGTACAGAGGCTTAGCCCACTGAGCCACACACTGCCCCAATACAGCACTGATACAGCACTGTTGTGTTTTTGGTTCCCATAGTACATGATTTTGTTGCCGTTTTGTTGTTCTTGTATTGCCAAATAACAAATGTTTTTTTGTTAAACAGTTCTATGTGACTTTTTTGTTTGCTATTGCACTGTGTCTTGAGATGTGTAGAAGCTACACGTGCATGCAAGTGCTTTCTCTTGCCAGTGAACTTTATATACTGTAATGTAGAGCCTTCCAATGCAGAAACCGGTGTCTTTGACATGAATAAGTATCAGTTTTTAAAGAAAAATGATTTGTGAGTGACAATGAGAAAGTGGAAACTGATTATCTTGTAGAATTGTGCAGCTCAGAAGTATACTTACACTGGGTTCTTGATAATATACAGTATCTAAGCATTTTGACTCTCGTGGTTAAAACAATGCAGATTGTACATTTTGATAGCGCTGACTAATTCATTGGTGGTACTCTTTGCTTCTGAGACGTGAGTTAATTGTTTTGGGTAAGTTACAGACTTTTGTGCCTAAACCATAATGTTGTGCTGTATGCATGAATTGTTTTGAGAAATACCATTATAGGCTTGAGAATTTTAAGTACGTTTCATCAAATGTTCCAAAGCAATCAAGAAAAACTGTGATCAGAGGGATACAGTAAATGGGTATCACTAAATGGGTATCACTAAATGGGTATCACTAAATGTGTATCACTAATGGGCCTGGGCTCTGGGCTGAGGGAGGGAAGTGAGTCCTCTGTTAAAGGAAGGAGTGTCAACCCATGGTGAGCACCCTGCCAAACAGCTTCAGGCACTTTTGGTCACATCAGACCACAAATCACTGTTTACGACTGGCAGAACAGCATAGATCCTCACGCCGGTCTGTGTAGCAGCCGCCTTACTTCTGAAGTCCATTCATAGTAATCAGGCCTGGCGATGATGCTGTACATGGAAATGGGCTGGCGATGAGCTCGTAATGAGGTTGCAGCTAATAATGAGCTGGTAATGAGCCTGTAGCTGCTACTGATCTGATTACGCGCCTGTTACATTCATGACATTCTGCTTTCTGTTGCGCAGGGCGGCAGTCGAGGAAAATGCCTACAACCGCATGAAGAAGGTGGTGAAATGGTACATCTCTGGATTCTACAAAAAACCAAAGGTGACGCATTTGCCGCTTCGTCATCCCAACCTTTCTATTCTTTTCTTCCAGCCACTCACCTGCTCCATCATTGGCCATCCCTTAGTTATGGTCTCTAGGCAACACTGGATGCTCCTGTATTACCCTTGTCTGATAGGAACCGGGTGCTCACGATGTTCTGATTTGAACAGCTCTTCTGTTGGATTCTTACAGTGTTCTGTATCGTATAATATAGCTCCAGCGCTGCCTTGCATTTCTCATTAGAACTTCATCTTAGCTGCACTTATGTCTAAATTGGCTCCTTGTGATGTATTATCTGTCCTGCTCTGTCACTTTGAACAAAACCATCTGCTAAACAAATAAATGTGAATCTAGCATATCTGACATGTGGTTGTTTTTTTTTATTATTATTCCAAACTCAGGGTTTAAAGAAACCGTACAATCCCATTATTGGCGAGACCTTCCGTTGCATGTGGATTCATCCCAGGACCAACAGCAAGACCTTCTACATCGCAGAGCAGGTATAGTCAGGCCGGAGGTTTATCAGTCTGTTTTATCAGTGGCTCGATGCGGGGCAGATAGATACTGCATACGATACTCTGCATATGTCATACCCAAGAGCTTAGATCAGGGGTGTCAAACTCCAGTCCTGGGAGGCCGGAGCCCTGTGTAACTTAGTTCTTTCCCTGTTCCAGCACAAATGATTCAGCTCAAGAGCTGTGTGGTAATTAGCCAAGGAGTAGAATAAGGTGTGTTAAATAAGAGTAAACCAAAAACTGTGCAGGGCTCCAGCCCCCCAGGACTGCAGTTTGACACCCCTAGCTTAGATCGTTGACAGCCGTCACTAAGGCAAAGTGAGTAATCAGTTTCCTTATAGTGCTTGGTGGCGTCAGGTACCTGATTTGAAGGTACAACGGCAGGACTGTGCTGGGATTCTAACCCACTGTAACCCTGTTGCAAGCCTATGAGATGCCTCCACGTACTGGTCTTTTCTCCTGGCCAGGTATCCCATCATCCACCAGTGTCGGCCTTCTATGTGAGCAACAGGAAGGATGGCTTCTGCCTCAGCGGCAGCATCCTGGCCAAGTCCAAGTTTTATGGTGAACAAAGCGCCCCCTTGTGTTCTCTAGCTGTTATTGCATGTCACATTTATCCCATTTTTCTAAAAATTTAGTCTATGCCAATAAAAGAAGACAGCCCAACTCTGTTGGACATTGGAGCTCCACTTGGTCTTCACGATGAGGTCACCTATCCTTGTCTGTCCACAGGGAACTCATTATCAGCCATATTGGATGGAGAGGCACGGCTCAGCTTTTTGAACCGTGGGGAGGATTACGTCATGAATATGCCTTATGCTCACTGTAAAGGTGGGACAGTTCAGGCTCAGACTTCGCATAGCATACCTTCACACATCTGATGTTACTGGTTTACAAAGTGAATAAGAACACTATGGGGTCATTATTTGGGTTTGTGGATCAGTTACCCAACTGGTGTGTGGGAAATACTCTCAATTAAAATGCTATCAACACAAAATGGCAGAGCATTTTGGCTGGTACCTGACTGCCTGTCTTCTATGGTAGACGATAGAAATGATTTTTTTTTGTGAGTCAGCTGTTTGCGAGGGTGATTATAGGATTTGTTTAAAGTGAGAGGCCCAAGAGAGGACCTAATTCATAAAGATGGACCAGCCTTATTATTAGCCAATGGGGTGTATTGAATTTATGAGTGACAGGAGATGGGGCACCCTGGGGGCCAATCAGCATTTAGCTAGGGCGAGTGTGCCCGTGGTCCCGCCCCTGCATATACCCTTAGCCGTTTACCTTCTCTTTTTGATGCATGTGGAAGGGGCCGAGGCTGACTTTACTTCCTGTATGCTGCAGGTATCCTCTACGGCACCATGACCCTGGAGCTGGCAGGGCAGATCTCGATCGCCTGCGAGAAGACAGGCTACAGTGCCCAGCTGGAGTTCAAGCTGAAGGTCCGCTGGTCTTTCATTCAGACCATGTGCATGACATTTAAATCAGAGGTTACAGGAACCGCTGTCGCTTTGAGTCAAAAGCCTCACTGCTGAATGACCAGTGTGGATTAGGTATAGGAGGTGTAGGATTAGGTATAGGAGGTGTAGGATTAGGTATAGGAGGCTGGCTGATGCGATTGGCTGGGTAGATTAACGTAGCCATTAATCATGTAAAAATATGAAAGTTATCTGACAATACAGAACAAAAATGTATCTATCCATCCATGTTCCATACCAGCAGGGCCATACTGAGGCTATCACCTGCCTCAGGAAGCGTAGAATGCAAGGCAGGGCGCCCCTGGTGGCCAGTTCATTGCAAAGCACACACAATCACTCATTAAGAGCATGTCTTTGGACTGTAGGAGGGAACTGTACCCGGCAGATAAGAAGGGCCAACACATGCGCAATCAGGGCGGGAATTGAACCCACAACACAGGAGGTGTGATGCAACAGTGTCATCCACTGAAATGCTAATGCTAATGTCCCTCAAACCTGTCACACACAGCGGTCACGTGTGGCCCAGAGTTTGCCCTGAACCGTTCTAATGAAGCTGGTATTGTCTTCTGCAGCCCTTTCTGGGATCCAACGACAGTGTGAACCAGATCTGTGGGAAGATCAAACTGGGAAAGGAGGTGCTGGCCACCTTGGAGGGACACTGGGTAAGACCTTCATCTGGAGGCAAACACAGTGGTGATGATGATGATGATGATGATGATGATGATGATGATGTTATCAAAGGTAATGCCTTTTTAAGAAGAATATATGCTAAAATTATATAAATTGAGACATACATTCACAAATTATGTATTTACAGTGCTGTAGTATGGGGCCTTTAAATGAGGTTCTTCCAGCAAACCAGTTTCCCTATGGCAACTCAAACCCTCCAAGCCAACCACACTCCTAAGCCCTGAAGGTCCTCCTTACTAGGGTCTGCCCCTTTATACACCCCTGCCCGTCTGGTCATTTGTCTGCTCTGAGTTATTCTTGTACTGTTCCTCTCTTGAGGGTGCAAAGGGCCTATCATATCTTTGTGTATCCCTCCCCCTTTCCAGGACAGTGAGGTGTTCATCAGTGACAAGAAGACAGGTCTGGTGGACAACTTCTGGAACCCGACGCCGGAGCTGAGGCAGAGCCGGCTGACCCGGTGCACGGTGCCCCTCGAGGAGCAGGGGGGCTTTGAGTCTGAGAAGTAGGTCCTGGGCCCAACTGGTCCATTTGTCATCAAGACAGCGGTGGCAACTAGCATGAGATCGAAATGTATTGGTGTCAGTCAGAACATCATCAGGCTTCTTTTTTGATGTTCACTGCAGTCTTAGTTATTTATGTTTGTAGTAATGATGGACAAAATGATGTTTCATGAACCATTTGCTTTATTTTTTGACTCCACTAGATGGTGCTCTTTGTTCAAACAAAGGCACAGAGCATGCACCAAAGCATACCAAGAGCACCATCTAGTGGGGTCAAAAAATACAGCAAATGGTCCATGAAACGTCATTTTGTCCATCACTAGTATGTATTTTCCGGATGGCTGGATATCTCATCGTGTGAGTCTGGACCTAGTTCCCAGCTTGGCTATTACACAGTGTTGTCCTGGGAACACTTTCTTGGACCAAAATCAGGTCAGACTTGAAAGACCATGATTCCTCTGTCCCCACCACCCCCCACCCTCAACACCCTGTCCCCACCAATTCGATGTCCCCAGGCTGTGGCAGCACGTGACCAGGGCCATCGTCAACAAGGACCAGACGGAAGCCACCAAGGAAAAATTCCTGCTGGAAGAGGCCCAGAGGAAGTCGGCTCGCGAGCGCAAGGCCAAGTGTGAGGCCTGGAGCCCAGTGCTCTTTGAGCAGGACCCCATCACGGGGGAGTGGCACTATCGCTATGCCGAGTGAGTACGAGGCCAGGCGCAACACGGCGCCCCCTACTGGCCTACATGTTCCACAGCCCCTGACAGCCCAGCTCTCCATTTACTCAGTCATTCATTCTGACTCCCATTTAGCTCCTGACAGTATAAGTTTATTTATAGCTTTTAAAATGAATGAAGAAATTAGTTAATGAAATATTAATTTAAACTTAATGATATCATGCTCTAATATTTTTATTCAAATGATGTAACCCTGCATAGGACAAGCGGGTATAGAAAATAGATGGATGGATAAATGGCTCAGTGGGTGGCGCTGTTGCCTCATGCTTCCTGGGCTGAGGGGTTGAATCCCACCCCAGCTCTCAGTGTGGAGTTTGTCTGTTTCCTCTTGGTACTCTGCTTTTTTCCCTCAATCCAAAGACATGAAGTTAGGCTTAGCGGTGTCTCATAGATGGACCGGTGCACCAACAAGGGTGTTCCCCAACATTGCGCCCTCTGCTGGCCGCATGCATGTACGTAAGGGGTTGAAGGTCACTGTGTTTTATACCCTTTCCTCCTTGGGCTTTTTGGTGTGGTGTGAGTGTTCGTAGACAATGTTGGACCACTGTTCGGAGCTTCCTTCCCACGTCATACTGGTGCCTGGAATTTGAAAAAACAGATGCCCAGTCAGTTTAACTGGTTAATATGTCTTGAGATTCTGTACTCAAACGTAGCAATATGTACTTTTTGGTACTATTTTATCCATCCACTCACTCATTCAATCATTCATTCATTCGTTTTTTTGTTCATTCCCTGATGGCAGTACTGTTATTTTGAAAAGTAATTTATATGGGTTGCCATGCTGAATTAGGTAAATGTTATGGTTAAATGACTCTATAAAACAGTGAAAAATGACCCAGTGAAATAATGATATACAACAGTGTAGGAGAGAGTTTGAGACTGGGGGTGGGACACAACTTATTAATTTAAATACAAAGGTCTATTTGCTGGGGGAATGAATGAAGCCAAATGAAATATGATGATGCAAGGTGCCTTGGGCCGACTCTGTTATGAGAGGTGCTACATAAAAATAAAATGAATTGTACTGAACTGAAATACTGGGGAGTAAATGTCCCCCTCATCCTATATCCCTGGTGATAAATGACCCTTTGAAATTTGAATTGAATTGAATTGACTTGAATTCACAATGAAATTCAATATGTAACTCCTCCGTATAAAATGAAAAAACGTCTGATAAAAACAGTAAAAATATGAAGACATGAATATAATGTACACAAACCTATAGTCCAAATGGTTCATAAATCATTCAATGTTACGCTTGTATTGCAGAACTTTGCACAGTACAGTGAGGTAATTATGAGTACAAACAGTTCTACCGGGGACATTTCATGGACCGACTGAGGGCGTTTACAGCCCTTGGGATGAAACTGTCTCTGAGCCTCGAGGACCGTGTGTGAGAGGCTCCGTAGCGTTTTCCAGATGGGAGAGTGATAAATGATAATAGTAGTAAATGACCCTATGAAACAGTGAGTAATGACCCCACTTATAATGTGAGCTGGTCAGGGTGCGCCACACCCACTAACGAGAGCTCACCCCCCTCCGCCTGCAGCACACGGCCATGGGACCCCCTGAATGATCTCATTCAGTTTGAGAAAGACGGCTGCATCCAGACCAAGGTCTGCCACCGCACTCCTATGGTACGTTCTGCCAGCGTAATTAGTCTCAGTAACCAGGGCTCCAGGAGAGACCATTACAAATGCCAGGTACGTCGGCCCTTCGCCGCCCCGAGTTCATCCTGCTTTGGTCACTGTGCTGCCTTCGTCCCACCTTGCTGCTCACTGGCGCCATCTCCTGGCTGCTTCATGTGGCCTCTGTGATTTTCATATTTTGTTTTTCCCTTCTCCATTTGCCGACTCTATGAATCTTATGTTTTACTCCATTAAGAGATGCAGCTTTTCTTGTCTGGTGTTTCACTTCAAACTAAGCATCTCAAACACAGCTGTTAGGAGGGCAGTATATCTGCAGTCCATAGATCTAATTACTCACTTAGTACTATGTTTTAAAGTGACTTTTTGAGTAGCTCCACATACCACCTATACCACCTTTTTTTTAAGAAAAACCTGTATGTACCTTCAGATAGTAGCATATATTAAGTGATGGTTATTTAATGTGCTAATTGGACCAGTTAGTTATTAGATTTTTTGGAATGACAGCTGGTATACACATGGCCCATCAGGATTTGTCAGACTACTCATTTATGTCGGGTTATCTTTTTATAACCTGTGGCTTGAGTTTTTGAGATGCACAACAGCGCCCTCTGGCTGCCACCTGGTGATGCTCACACGCTTCGCAGCCTTGCCTCCATTAGCGTCAGCATTTGTCAGCGTGCTGTCATGTCGCCGACATCCTGCACCCTCCCCCCATTGACCTGGCACCTTCCCCCAACACAGGTCACCGTGCCCAAGCGGAAACACAAACAGAGTGACCAGACAAAGAGCCCCGAGAGCGGAGCCTCCTCACCGGAGCCCGACCGCCATGACTCTTCCGGGAGCGAGAGTAAGGCCACAGCGCTGATTTTGATTGGTTACACACAGCCCCAGCTCTAATCCCCACCAATGAGGAGCATCATCGCATTAAAACAATGTATAGACTTTTCTCATAGCAACGTGCCAAAATTTGCCGTGTGTAGGTAGCTGACATGCCACTGGGGGCGCCCTCCTCCGTTTCAGGGCATAAGAACAAGCAGGGGGGTCGGTTGAGGAGAAAAGCCACAGACCTGAGTGAACTTCAGCGTGCCATCGACTCCATAAAGCAGACACAAGAGGACATTAATCGGTAATCAGTCACTGAATGATGAACTTTACTCGATTCCTACTTTATTCCTACATTATTCATTTCATCTTCAGTCTTTAGCCTCTTTGGAAAACATATTATTATATGTATTATATGTGTGCAGTCAGTTTTTAAAAAATATTTTAAATTAATGCCATTGCTTAAGAGCATGTACGGTATGTTTCCTTTGGGATCAGCTGAGATTTTTAAAGCATGTTGTTATGGAAACATTGTGTAGCAGAAAAACAGCTATAGCCTGTTCTTTTGCCGTCATTAAAGGTTGCATTTCAGTGATTCCTCCGCTGTTGTACGCCGAGCCTTGCTTTAGTTGAATAGCCATATATGACAAAGTATGGGGTCTAAGTTCCTTGCAGTTAAAGTGATGGCAATAAACGATAAATTTGTTGAATAGTGATCATATTCCTGTATTATCTCCCAGGAGCATCACAACACTCCGTAGCCGAGCCGTCAGTGACCAAGTGCCACCAGAGGGCAGCCTCTTGCACCATCGCGACTACGTCATTATCATCTTCCTCGTCCTCGTCCAGGTTATTGTCAACTTTCTCTTCAAGTGATGGCAGCAGCACCTGGAGGAGAGCCATGCTACACGGCAACTTCCTCCGCCGTCATTCAAGACCGGGAGCCCAAACTGCACACTCGCTACTGACGCGCATTCTACCATATTGCCACCAGGGGGCAGCAAAGCTCACCTGACACGCTTGCAGACACTTCAATTGTTCTAGTATCTGAACATTTTGTGTATTTTAAACGTCTAAATGGCAGTGAGTCCATGTGGCATAGAATCTGTTTGAAGCCTCCACATATGATAGGTTGTTAAAAAAAAAAGGACATATGTTGGTCTCGGAACAGATTTCTCCCACCGTTTCAGGATGTTAAAGCCTTTGAATTGCTGAAGAAAGGGTGGTTCATTTTCTCGTCGTTAAGTTATTTCCTCTGCCTTTTTAAAGATATTTTTTATGTTCCATTTTTGGGCTTTTCATTATGTTTCTATAGTACACGGTGCTCTGTGAGCAGACCAGTACGTGCGGAAGGGATTCGGGGGCTGTTCATGGGGGGTGTTGGTGAGCAGTGTACCTTTTTAAAGAAACATTAGGGCATAACTTAATTGCGAATCAGAATTTAAATAACAGATTAGTCATACCTCATTTCCAGTTCTCATAGAAAGCTTGGATGTTAACATCGTGCGTTGGGAGATCTTAAAGTGGAAAAATAAGCTTTCTTTTGAGTTTTGGTCCCCCTGGAGAATACTGATAGCTGACTGAGTAGGAGAATAAAGGAGATTAAATTTTCATGTAGCATCTAATGTAGGTAGTTAGGAGACCTCGCTGTTTCCCTTGGTTAGAATATTTGATGTGAAAACGTAATACAGTACATAGATTAGAAGCAGCACATTTGAAGAGAAATTGTAAGTAGTGAGTAGAGCGTCCTAGTGGTAGCATGTTAGCACGTCCATACCCATAAGCAGGCCTATCTGTGTCTCCCGGTCACTAGCCTCTGTGTCACTGCTCATCTCTCCTTTGTCTGCTTACCACAGGAAGCAGGAATGGACTATGGCAAAGGAATCGACTTCATAGTGCCTTCCAGGGTGGGTTTTTAGGAGGGACGGCCACTCGGATCGCGATGTTGTATTTATGTGCCACCACTAGCGGGCCGTCGCCTGTGTGTCCCCAGCGTGCGACCCCTAACCTCTCTCCCGACCGGTTTCAGCCTGTTCGTTCTTTCTGTTCACGCTCAGTCTCTGAGCAGGGTACCAGGAGAGCAGAGCCATTTTTATTAAATTGTTTTTTGTTTTTCACGTTTGTCGTGAAAGCACTCTTTATTTCCCCGACGCAGCGGCCCAGGGTCTCAAGGCTCGGTGAAACTTGTCTGGACGTGACACAGCAATTCATAACGCCGTCCCTCTCTCTTGGCTCTCTCACCGTACTTTTAATATTTTTAATATTTATATTTGTATGATTTAAGAGGGCCCCGTATGTCTCGACGTGTCAAATAAATTGGAGAAATTGCATAATCTCAGCATCGTTGCCCATTTTCTTGTTTATCTGTGGGATAAAGTAGGACAGTGGGCTTTGTAGATGTTTTGTGTGCCTGTCCTCTTGTGCTGCTTAAACACTGCGCCGGGGCTGTAGAACCACTTTCAATTAAAATTTCCAGAAACCCCCTTCTGCTGTATGATTGTTTTTTTGTTTTTGACTGGGGTTCAGCACAAATAAAAGCTGGCCAAATACAACACAGCAAAGTCACTGACCTTCTCCACTGAGATGCATTGTCTGCGCGGACCAAGAAATCTGCAGGCGGGGGGGGGTTAGCACACTTTAGGAGCATCATTAAGAATGCTGTGACGGACGATCACGAAAAAAGTACAAAAAATGCTATGCATATTGATAAAACTTTATTAGTAAAAGCCTGAATCTTGTCCCTTTTTAAAAGAAAATACTTCATCTCAGTTTTTCTAAAGCATACAGATAACTGTACATGATCTCACATGCCCCCCCCCCCATTCGGATGTGCTCCGAGGTCCCTGGTTTCCTGGATCACAGTTGCGAAGGTACGCCCCCCCATTTCCCCCCTGGTGCTCCCCTCCTAGCTTTTGGAGGCCTTACACTGTCCTCAGCAAACTCGCCCCAGCGGTAACTTACTGGGCTGATGAGTAAGTTAACATTTTCATTTAAACTGTCACAAGTCTTATCACAAAGATTTCAAACGAATCTCTAAAAACATGTCAGCGGTGGAGAGATTTTGTTGTGGCCAATGGGGGGGGGGTACTGAGGTGACTATAATTATATATGCATCCATCCAGCCATGCATCTTCCATGGTCGCTTTTCCAGTGCACGGTTGCGGTGAGCCTACAGCCTATCCCAGGAAGCACTGGGCATTTGGCAAGAAGTCCCCGGACTGAAGTCCAAACATCACAGGGCACGCACTCACAATGTGGGCCGTTTAGAGTTACCAGTGCACCCAGCCTCAGGTGTTTTTGGTCTGCTGGAATAAATGTCAAAACGTCAGAATCGGACTCCCGACCCTATAGGTACTCGGCCATATAGCTACCTGCTGAGTGTGTGAAAGAGCTGCAGTGTATCGCAATAACTGTGTTAACGTTACGCAAAAACGTTAAGGTAACGCTATTCTCCCACTTTATGATGTACTGCAGTAACCGCGCCTGCATTCTAACCAAGGCCTGGGCTGGTTTCCTCGCTGGCTTTATCCTTACATAACCTTGCCACAAGCTTACGGTCCCATAGTTGTTATTTATGGCACCAAGTGTGTGAATAAGCTAGCGGGTCAGTACCAATGTGCAAAGGATCCCCCCCAATCAAACAACTGGGTACGCTGCCACTTCCTTTAGTTTATTTTTATTTGCTTTTCCTCTCCTCTTCTCCCTTAAACTCAAGCTTGTCTCCCGGTTATTCAGCTCAGTGGGTATGGGGCCCATGGAGCTGAGCAGTGGGTTTTGATTAGACAGAACTGGAAAAGATCACCTAGACCTCCTAACCTGCAGATTCACGACGGGGTGTTCCGAATTATTTGCAGAGAGAAAACCCTCAATTTTTAATCACTTCATCCCTTCAAAGGTTCAGGTGACTTCCTTCCCTCCTTTCCGACTCCATGTGGTAATCTTTATTCATTGGCAAAACTTTGAAATGGAAACCTTCGTTATGAGATGGGCATGTAGAGTCGGTATAGCTCTCTACTCTGAGCTGTATTGTCATGTGTAAATTGCAGCTTCATAAACTAGAGCCTGTGAATGACCACAGCAATATCAGACCACTTTAAAATATCATTAAAATGGCATCTCTATACTTGAGGATGGGTTCAGGATGGGTACTTTAGATTCATCTCTAGGCATATTATTGGTCCATGAACAGAGGTGGACAAGATTTTGTTTCAACTAGCCAGATAAGCATAAAGAGTCACAGAGTACTCAACTAGTTGGTTGAAAGAGGAAGTGAGAGCTGGCAGCTCCTACACTGAGTGTGGGGTGCGTCTTGTGAAGGAAATGTCCACCTGCTCCTTTGAGGGACTCAAGCTATTTACCCCCCTTCCCCCCCCACACATTCCCACCTCTAAGCCAAGGACACTAACACAGGAAGGAAGTTCTCCTCTGTTCATTTCACCGGAGCGGGGGCCCTGGGCAGTATGCTGGGGCAGATGGGAGGTGACAAGGTGACACCCTCTGCGACAGCTGCGTGCAAGACCGCGTAGAGACATCAGTTCTTTATTACCTCCCAGAATGCGTTGAACGGTGTGTTCGTTGGCTGGTCTTGGGCGCGTGAAGAACTGGCAGCCTGTGCCTCCTGACCCCCCTAGTAGAAATTCAGGGACTGCTAGATGCAGATGTCCACAGGTCGTGCTACCTGGACTATGGTGGCCACAGAGGGCGCTGTTGAGTTTGTGCTCCAATGACACTTCTTTCAGTACCTCTACCAAGGCCTCTAGGCGTCAGACTAGAAGCTGATGGCATTGCATGCATGCCCAGACTGACCCACTATACTGGGGTAACAAGCCGGCAGAAGCTAGTCAGCCAGGGCAGGTTTGACGGGGGTCTCAGTGGGTTTTAAACGCATCCACTCCCCGCTCTGCCTGCTGGTGACATTGATCACACCTCCGCACTCAGCGGGGCCTTCAAAGGCTGAGGAGAGGATGTCCGTGGGGTGGGGGGTGGCCTGACGCCTCTGTAGTCCTATGTACACTCTCACTTTTATATTTTGTTCTGTTTTAAAGCATCTAACACCCCTTACTTTGTTACATTTGTGTTTCTGTTTTATTTGCACAGTGAGCTCTGGGATCTCAGAGAAGTTTAGAATGATTACAAAGATTTTTAGTGAAACGTGAACCTCTCACATCTGTGGGCTGTGATCTTTTTCCCTGCTTGTCATTGGGTTTTTTTTAATCTAATTATTCCATATTCAGGTAAAGTAATGGAGCAATTGGGACCCCAATCGCCGTCATTCCCACCGCCGGTGACAGAATCGGTTCAGTCCCCCTGAAATGGCAGTGCTCTCTGTAAGGTCCCCTCTGTATTCACCTCATTACCAAAACTGGAAATCCGGGTAAATCCTGCACAGAGCCTGATCACATTCCCTCAAACCTTCAGCTGGAATCCCAACTCTCTCAGCAGCTCCTGGGAAAACCAGGACGAAGAGATAAATACTGAGGTCCCACTGAGGTACCTCACCAGATCTTCTGGCATAGTGTAATGTCGCCTCAGGGAATGATGTCGCTCAGATGTTGCCGGCTGTGGGGAATGTAGCACTGTGATTTGAGATATATTGATGACGTTTGACCATGTCATGGCTGTTACCTGGTGATGGAGGACCAGCTTGCACTATGAGTACCGTTTGACTGACTAGCCGCACATGTGCAGTTTCACTATGCTAACACCAACAGTTCCATGTGGATGGATCCTTTGTCGCTAGTGGCCAGTCAGTACCAGGGTTGGACTTTTTACACTAATTCTATTCAATGTCTATCCTGCGTAGCAAACGGCTACACATATGTGAAACATGCAGCTGCTTTCAGGGGTAGTAGCAGAGAGGTTAAAGGTGTGACATTGGGAACTGCAGGTTGTTGGTTCTAAACCCTTGAGTTCAGAGCTAGTAAATGCTGCATCACTTGGATGTGGTTAATGTGAAATATACCAGTGCTATCAGAAGCAGTAGAAAAGAGGTTAAAGGTATGGGATTTGAACCTACAGGTTGTTGGTTCTAAACACTTGACTTCAGTATCAGTAAACACTGTATAACATGGCTGCGGTTAATGTGAGACATACTGTATGGCTGCTACTGGAGGCAATAGCAAAGAGAAGAGATTAAGGGTGTGGGATTTGAACCTGCCAGTTGTTGGTTCTCGGCCTGTGCATCAGTAAACAGGTACCATCTGTGATTGGAAGATGAGAATGAAAGTTTCTGCTGAGCAACTGGAGCTCTGCTCAGGGGCTCAGGTAACAGGGCACCTTCTTATTTTTATGCACTGTCTCAGACGCACACGACACACCGGCCTGCCAAGACTGCACTGACTCAGCAAGGATCGATGGAGGATACGGTGGGAACAGGAAGTGGAGGTGGAGAGAGTGGCAGAGGGTGTGATCAGCTAGAGCTGGCTTGGGTGTCTCAATCCACTGCCAATCGAATAGCCTCTGGGGCCATGCTGCCTCCTACGCAGGCAGGGGGCAAAATCTGAACCCAGTCCTCTCACATATTATCCATAGCATAGTGCAAGCAGAGTGGTGAAGACGGTGTATTCATAACCATAAGGTTGGTGATTCATATCCCAGCAGGGGCTCAGCAGTTATACCCTTGAATGAGACACTTAACCTGAATCACTTTAGTAAATTATCCAACTGTCATTCTGTCTTCTAACCACTGATCCAGTTCAGGGTCACCTGGAAGCGGTCCCAGGCAGCTTAGGACATACGGCTGAGGTACACCCCCGAAAGACACGTACTCACAGGAAAGACAGCACTCAGCCCCCCCCCAACCCGGGCAATTATTTTCTGCGGAGGGACGAATCTGCACTTCAGTGAGTCAGCAGGAGCCATTTTTAATCATTATTTTCATATCCCGTGAAATTTACAAGAAGACTTGTTCCTATTTTTTGAAGAAGCTCACTTTTGCGTGCTGGTTGGGAAGCTGCCTGGTGTTAGTGATCATTCCTGGAACTGAAACGTAAAACCTTACCCATTTTTTTTTCCATTTCAATGTTTGAGTCCGCTAGTAAAAATAAGCCACGGGCCTCAGCGTGTAGAGAGAGGAGGGGCGGGATTCAAACCCGCGTTACCCCCTGGGCCGCCATGCTGCCCATATCTGACTGTGCAAAAGTATTTTACATTTATACATTTACAAAAGAGCAGGGCTCTTCCCGGGATGTCACATTGCAGAAGTCTGACTCCTGATTTGGGCCTCCCCTTGCTGTCCCACGCCCCAGCCCATGAATCATTGATATCCCGCCTGATCCATCTCCCAGTGACTCTTCCTGCGGTGTCCTTCCTGCCGATGTCGAGCGGCTGCCCCGAATCACCAGGTCCGTCTGGCGTGTAATGGGAGGCTCTCGTCTTCCTCCTCTACCCCGTGGAACCTCCACGCTGGGGCCAGGAGTCGCTCCCGTCGTCTGCATCCGTCGCTCCATCTTATAACGTGACCGGCCCTTCTGCCCCTGGGGGCT